ACGGTTTCGGCTCAAGGCTTGGTTGCCTAGTGGTCCTGGTTTCACCGCACTAAACCTGACCTGTTCAGGAACTTTTTGTAGGAACGATGCACTTCGGCCACTTGTGGGCGGCTTTCAGAATGGACTACTCGACTAACCAGCCCGACGTCCCGCAGTTGCCAACTTCGCTGGTGAGCCCCGTCAAAGCGGCCTGCGACTCCGACGACGCGTCCTCGGAAAGCCCCAAGCGCGTGTCGGAGGCGGCGCTCTTGGTTCAGGGTCCGTCCACCTGCGCGCCCGGGGAAAGTGCGTCGCAGACAGTCTGGACGACTCCACCCAGTACGCCGCGTGTGCGCTCTGGGTTGCCTGCAGCGCCGCCGTCTCCGCAATTCGGAGAGCCCCGTGCGGAGCCCTTGCTTTTGGCCCTGGAGCGAAACTGCACGAAGCAAGTGCGCCTCGCCATCGAGGCAGACCCCGAGGCAGCCAAGGAGCCGTTCTGGGACAGCCGCTTCGAGTGGCCGCTCTGCGCCGCGATCCGCCTCAGGTGCAGCGTGGAGGTGGTCCGGCTGCTGATCGAGAACGGCGCGGAGGTCGGCGTAGAGAGCGTCGGGGGGCAGTCTCCTCTCCAGCTGCTCAGCACGGGGACGGAGGATCACCTCATTGATTTGAGGCGGATGTCGAACACTCAGCCGGGCGCCGCCGAGTGGATCGAGAGCATGCGCCAGTCCACCGCGCAGTTCGAGCTGGGCGTGGCCACAGCATTGCTGAACGCGGGCGCAGATCCAGCGGCGCACCACGGAGACCCTCGGATGGGAAGTTTCTCGAGCCAGGAGCTTGCACGGCGCTCCGGGAAAGATCATTTGACAGATCTGTACGAAGCCCATGTCCGTTGCTGATTGTCTTACCCAAGCCAGCAGGATGGATCCCAAATAAATATAAACCAGGGTTTATAATGTTCCAGGATTATTGACCTGGGTTCTTAATGTCTCCCCCAGAACACTGTGAACCTGGGTTTCAATGTCTGGGAATACTGACTGGGGTTCATAATGTTCCCCCCGGAACAATATAAGCCCTGGTTTATAATGTTCTGGGGATATCGACCCCCAAAAACATATTAACCTGGGTTCATAATGTTCCAGGAATATTGACTGGGGTTTACAATCTCCCGGGAATAATAAACCCCGTTTTCGGAATTCCGGAATGATAGTGATTTATTTTCCCCCCAACCCCCGGGTTTCCTACCAGGTTTTTCATGTCGGAATATTGACCCCAGTTGATTATTTCCAGGAGATATGAACCCGGATTCATAATGTTCCTGGAATATTGATCCCGGGTTATCTATTCCGGAATGATAATGATTGATCCTGGGGGGCGCCGTTTGAGAGTACGCTCCGGATTGGTATAAACCTTGGTCCATAACGTTGGGATATTACACTTCGGTTGATTATTCCGGAAAGATTGATTCGGCCAGGGGGGGTGAGCCCGATAAATTATTGACGCTTCGCGTATCCCCACCAGCCCATCCAGAAACGATGTCCAGGCAAGTTGAAGAGATCAGGGAAGCGGGGGAGCAACGAGAGGGACAGCCGATCCGCGCAAAGGATGAGGCGGAAGAGGAGGCCAGACGGATAGATGAGGGGGTGGCGAGGAACCGAGCGAAGGAGGGATGAGGAGAATGATGACGCTGGGTGGATGGTTGTATGCCGCTCGGATGCCTCTTGGAAGCCTTTTGGAAGCCTCTTCGGGCGTCTTGGGGGTCTCTTGGCGGTCAATGGGGGCTCTTGGGCGTTTTGGGTGCTTCGGGGGGGCCTCTTGAGGCCGCTTGGGATGGGGGGCTCTTGGGGGCCTGTTGGAGGCCTCTTGGGGCCTCTTGGGGGTCTCTTGGAGCTTCATGGCGGCCTCTTGGAGCCTCTTGGAGGCCTCTTGGAACCATCCTGGGAGCCTCTTGGAGCCTCTTGGGGGCTTCTTGGGGCCTCATGGCGGCCTCTTCGGCCCATCTTGGGGCCATCTTGGCACCTCTTGGGGCCTCCCGGGCGCCTCTTGGGGCCATCTTGGAGGCGATCGATCAAAGAAGAGGGTGGGGTTAATTAGCCCTGCCCCCCCAAGGGGCCAAAATGGGGCCAAAACCCGAGTAAAACCGATGATTGTGGCTTCCTCGCCGAGGCCGTTTTGGACGCTCTAACTACCAGCGGACCCCCCCGTCCAGGTCCAGGGGAGGGGGTTAGCGGGAGGGGTGAACCCCTCCCCGAAGGGGAAGTGGAAGATGGAAGAGGAAATTCCCGGAACCACCTACGCCCAGAGGGCTGGTGGGATTCACAGGACAATAATCCATAGGGCATCATCTGAAGCTAAAGAACCTAGGTTTTCATTCCTAGATAATCAACCACGGTCGACGAGGATTTCGGAGGTGACCTCCAAGCCAGGCCATCTCGGGAGCGTGGCGCTCTGGAGCCTGCCTTGATGGGGCCCTGGAGATGATGTGCGGCATCGATTGCCCAGGCCTTAGGACCCGACCTGGAACCGCTTGCCTAATTACAGTTGCTGCAGCCTGTGCCAGGTCGGATTGCTGGGCCGTGCATCTCTGCCGCACCCGGCTGCACGTCTTTCTATTTCGCCTCTCTTGGTCGGGTGCCGAGTCGAGCGGCGGAGGCGTCCCCTCCTCTCGCATCAGACACTTCTGCGCCGTGCATGCCTTCTACACCATGCTGCGGCCTCGATGCCCCTCTGCGCCATGCATGTCTTCGCACTAGCTGTATGCCTTTGTACTTCGCCCCTTGGTCGGGTGTCGAGTCTAGCGGCGGAGGCGTCCCCTCCTCTCGCATCAGACACTCCTGCGCCGTGCATGCCTTCTACACCATGCCCGGCCTCGATGCCCCTCTGCGCCAGGCATGTATTCCGCACCGGCTGCATGAATTTGTATTTTGCCTCTTGGTCGGGTGTCGAGTCGAGCGGCGGACTCGTCCCCACCTCGGGAAGTCACTCCTGCGCCGTGCATGTCTTCTGCATGTCTTTGTATTTTACGCCTTGGTTCGAGCGGCGGATTCATCCCCGCCGACTGCTTGGCTAGAGGGTAGTTAGACTACGGTTCGCGGTGCGGACCATGGCCGCTTCATACTTTGGAGTCCGCCCGAGACTGCACGACTCCGATTGTAAAGACGATTAGGGGAACACGGCATTCCCTCACACTTTAACGCTCAGTGGCATGGACCCTCTTCTCTCAGCTTGATGCCTTCCTCCCATCATGCTCTCACATCTTCCCCCATTTACAATGTTTCCCATCCTCCTCATTAATACCCGCTCGGTGCCGTCCCGGGTCGCCAGGTTGCGGGAAGTGCATTCTCGCATCCGACGTCGCATGGACGAAGACTGTTTTTGGGTTGATCATAGTGTGTAGCTTACGTTCCAAAGACTCGTCAAATGGGCTCACACATGAGCATGGGTTGAGGCCTCTAGACTAAGAGGAAGAACAGGTGATGAGGAGGGCACGCTGATTGCCGCAGCAGCAATCGCACTATTGATCTCGCGCCTCGCGCAACGTTTGAGATCCGACATTGGTTCCTAGATAGCGAAGCTTACGAGCCAGGGCCGCGATCCCTCCCTCTCCCGATCTACCCGCCCTGATCCCGACTGACTATGATGGTCTCCTTTTGGGCTCCTCGAAATCTTCTGTCTAGACAGTGAGGCGCTGGGCCATCCAGCATTCTTCCTGGCGCCCGCCTCGGGCTCATCCCTCCCCCCTCCCCCTCCGTTCCCCTCTCCTCGCAGCCCTCGTCCAACCGTCCCACGAGCCCGGCCAGCAAGCGAAAGCCAAGCCTCGTCGCGTCAGCGGGGGCACCCCGAGGTCGGCTCGGCAGAGGGGCACGGCCAGCCCGCACGGCCTTGCACACACTCCCGAGGCACTAGATTTTTTGCATTGGGACCGCGGAGCGGCTGAGGCGAGCGACTCGAGCATATATATATATATATATATATATATATATATATATATAAATAAATGTTGCAAAGTTCTGGAAATGAGAAACCGCCCTAATAGCACCCCAAGAGTGCTCCAAGATGCGCCTTTACGCAAGCTCCGAGATGGCGCCCAGAGGGCATCCAAGGCCCCCGAGAGCGCACCAAGATGGCTCCAAGAGGCGCCCCACGAGGCCCCCCAGAGGCCCCCAAGTGGCCCCCGCGATCGCTGAGAGGTCCCGCGCGTTTGTTGACCCCCCCCCCCCTGGGGTTGTGGACCCCCGCTGGCGGCCTGTGGAAGCCTCCCCCCGGGGGTCCGTGGCCGCCCGAACCCCCCTGCAGGCTGTGGAACCTCCCCCCAGGGGCATGTGGACCCCCCTCTCCTCCTCCTCCTCCTCCCTCCTCCTCCTCCTCCTCCTCCTCCTCCTCCTCCTCCTCCTCCTCCTCCTCCTCCTCCTCCTCCTCCTCCTCCTCCTGCGGGCTCGTGGGATTCGCTCCGGGGGTTGTGGGATTCCCCCCGCAGGCTCGTCGACTCTCCCCGCGGCTCTGTGGAGCCGCCCACGGAGTTTGCGGCCCCCCCCTCGTGGAACCTCTCCGGCCTCTGCGCCGGTGGCTCCTCCGCGGGTCTGTGGAGCTCTCCTGGGGTTGCCGGTCTTGGGGCATGTCAGGGCCGGGGCCCTCCTGGGCAGCGTCGAGGCTCTCTGGGGGGGGGGCTGCTTGCTGAACCGTCCTGGGACGGTGTTCGCGGCTTTTTGGGGGTCCGGGAGTCCTCCGGAGGGCTGCGTGGCTGGGTGGCGGCCCCAGGCCGGCGGCCCTTCTCCGCCCTTCGCTGGCCCGGGCTTTTGTGGGGGCCGCTGCGCGGCTGGCCGGGCCTTTCGCGGCGGCCGGGCCCCGGCCGGCCCCGATTTTTTGGGGCCGACCCGACCCGATTTTTTCGGGCCTGTCCCTCTACAGGAGGAAAATGCAATCATAGTCGAACAAGTAGTCAGGGGACGATGTTTCGAACATTTTTGCATGTGTCTTGATTCTTTTTTTGAGTGTGTCGAATGTTTCACTCAGCATCCGCCTGCAGGGGGACGCGCCCGACCGAACAGTAGGGGTCAGTGCGTGCCCCCACGCTGCATCTCTCGGCGGCGAGCGCAAGGGGGGGGCAGGGGGGGGCGGGCCCTTCCTGGAAGGCTCGGAGGGCCTCCCACCTTCGGAGCAGTTTTTTCTGAGCCGTTTCCCAAGACAGAGATGGCTTCTGGGGGGCTTCGGAGGAGCCCCGCCGCTTTTGGGAAGGTCTGCCCTCTCCCCCCCCCCTCCCCTGGACTCGCTGCCGAATCTTCGGGGGACCTTGTCTGTCCCCCCAAGTTGAAGTCTTTTCGTGTGCCCGGCGCCGGTTCGATGCGGACTCGACGCGGACGTGGCGTGGATTCGACGCGGATTCGACACGGATATCGAAGAGCACAACATGGATTCGGCACGGATTCGATGTGGATAGGTTCGCGACGAGACAGGCAAGGACCCCCGCAGAGGCAACATTTTGTTTGAACGCCCCACTCAGTGACTCGCCTTTCGGCGTTTGCCGCGGTGCTCTTCTCTGCTCTGTTGTGCCCCATTGTGCCCCGCGCGCCGCTCTGCTCTTGGCCGCTCAATATCAGCTCTGTTGTGCTTTGCTCTGGTATGCCAGGCTCCGATGCACTCTGCTGCGGTCCTTCGCTCTGCTCTGCTGCGCCATGCCTGATTATGCTCAATATTTTTTCGAAACAACGGAAACAAACATCATAAACACTTGTTTGGCGGTCCGCCCAGATTTCTTGGATGTTCGTCGGGGCCCTGTTGGCGCGCTCCGCGCGCTAGGGAGTGGGGTCTAGCGCGGATCCAAGAAATCCGTGTGGACCGCCAAAAATTGCGGTTTATTCCCAAATCAGTGCTTGCAGTGAAGGGGTCCTAGCGGAGGTTGAAAGATTTAGCGAAAGTTTCCCGCCGCTCTTGGTGGCCGGCTGAGTTCCCGGGTTCCCAGTTCCGGGTTTGGTTCCGGGCCGGTTCTGGTGGGCGGCGGGCTTCCCGGGTTCCCAGGTTTTTGGTCGATCTTCTGATCGATCGGTCTAACCATCGATCTCATGAGCCACCTCTCTATCGATCTCACCATCGATCGATCTCAAAATCGATCTCACTATCGATCCCACAGGCGATCTCACTATTGATCGCATGAGCGATCTCGCTATCGATCTCACTATCGATCTCATTCCCCACATGTTTCGTGGGGTTCTGGTTTTCTTCCCTGCCGCGGCGCACCCGCGTCTCACCTCACCTCACACCTCATCTCCTCTCTCCTCCTTCCTCTCCTCACCCGCGCTCAACGCGTGCACGGCAAGTACATGAGACACGCGTCTACATACGGCCGCGCGCATGCACACACTCGCACAAAACACACACACACCATACAACGCTAGTGCGCGCCTGGCGTGATCACTGCAGCGTCCATTGAGGCGTGTGCGCGACATAGTGGGCACCCACATGAGACACGTCCCGATATAGCCGCACACGCATCATACACATACACATACCATGCCATATACAAGACGTGCGTGTAGGATTCGCAGTGGATGGCAGGAGGCTCTGTGCAGGCCATGGCGCAGGGCACGGCAGGCGTGGCACTTTCTCGACACCACAGGGGGTGCGCAGGGGGTGGTCTCTCACCGCGGTCTCTATACGCGCCAATGTCGCAGGGCCTAGCAGGCGTGGCACTTTCTCGAGACCGCAGGGGGTGCGCACGGGGGTGGTCTCTCACCGCGGTCCCTATACGCGCCAATGTCGCAGGGCCTAGCAGGCGTGGCACTTTCTCGACACCGGAGGGGGTGCGCCATAGGGGGTGGTCTGTCTCTCACCGCAGGTCTATATACGCGCCAATGTCGCAGGCGCCTAGCAGGCGTGGCCTACTTTCCTCGACACCAGAGGGGGTGCGCAGGGGGTGGTCTCTCACCGCGGTCCCTATACGCGCCAATGTCGCAGGGCCTAGCAGGCGTTGCACTTTCTCGACACCGGAGGGGGTGCGCAAGGGGGTGGTCTCTCACCGCGGCCCCTATACGCGCCAATGTTGCAGGGCCTAGCAGGCGTGGCACTTTCTCGACACCAGAGGGGGTGCGCACGGGGGTGGTCTCTCACCGCGGTCTCTATACACGCCAATGTCGCAGGGCTTAGCAGGCGTGGCACTTTCTCCACTCCAGAGGGGGTGCGCAGGGGGTGGTCTCCCACCGGGGTGGTCCCTCACCGCGGCCGCTATGCACGACGGTCGTCCAGGGCATAGCAGGCGCGGCACTTTCTCGACACCTTAAAGGCTACGCAGGGGGTGGTCCCTCACCGCGACGCCATGCACGACGGTCGTCCAGGGCCTAGCAGGCGTGGCACTTTCTCGACACCATAGAGGGTTTGCAGGGTGTGGTCCCTCACCGCGGCCGCTGGCTGGCTCGAATCTGTCCTCGATGGAGGATAGAAGGCTAGGAAGAGGGAGGAGGTTCAAGCAATATGGCGTTGGATGACACAGAGGGGAACATTCGCGACGAGGGCTGAGAACGCAGAATTGCGCATATATGATAAACTTAAGCAAGCACATAATATTTAAATTAAGTATGTGGGGTTCCTCGGTAACGTAATTCTTCGGCTTTCCCGGTGTAGTCTCATGTATTGCCGATGGCAAGTGCTTCCTGAGTGCACGGGGCAAAACGCTTGTGCCAGCCGCAACGGTCCCGTGCTGGCGGTGACGCTGGAGCTTCAACGTGGCTTTCGTAGATTCGCAACACGTGTTGTTCTGTTTGGTGGGCGTTTCTGTCGTGCCGCTCTGTGTCTAGAATTACGTCTTTCTCTCTCTCTCTCTCCCCCCCTTCTCGTCCGCCTATCACTCTCTGCTACATGTATCGTCTGCTAAGTAGATACATAACGCTATTTGTGTCGCGCGTATGCTGCTGCATCGGATTTCATATTTCCCTCTCCATATATGCCAACTTCAATGTATATGCATCGCGCAATCGGTTTCGATTTCGTATTCGTGTCGTGCGTGCGGGCGAGGGGAAGCTGCGTGGGCGCGCGAAAGGAATGATGCCCGGGCGCGCGGTGGCCAGGGGTGTCCCGTCGGTGGCGCGCCTGCGTCCCGTAGCTGTCCCGTTGGTGGCGCGGCGATGTCGCGTCGGTGGCGCGGAGTCTCCCGTCGGTGGCGTACGGTATCCCGTGGGTCCCGCGGCGGTGAGATCGATAGTGAGGTAAATCGTGTTATTGATTGCGAGATTTGTTGTGAGATCTTTTGTGAGATTTGCTGTGAGATCGATCGCGAGATCTGTTGTGAGATCGATCGTGAGATCTTTTGTGAGATCGATTGTGAGATCCCTCGTGATATGTACATATACGACCACCCTTCGGGTGATATGGAGGTTCGGGGGGGCGGGAGGGGGAACCAACGTCTAATTCAACCGATCACACATCGATCAAACTCTCGATCTCACAACAGATCTCACTATCGATCTCACCATCGATGTCGCATCAGATCGCACTATCGATCTCATTCTCGATCTCACCATCGATCTGGCAATCGAACTCGCTATCGATATATCACTAGCTATCCCACGATCGATCTTACAACAGATTTCACGATCGATCTCCGCATCGATCTCACCGTCGATCTGACCATCGAACCCACGATCGATTTCACATTCGGACTCACAATCGATCTTGCAATAGTTCTCACTATCCGTCTCACTATCGATATCACAGTCGATCTCACCATTGATTTCACTGTCGGGCTCACAGTCGATCTCATAGCCGATCTCATGATCGATCTGAGTGTCGATATCACTGTCGATTCCACTATCGGAGGTTGGGGGGTGAGATCGCAGTGGAACTGAGAGCCCCCCCACCGGGAAATCGGTTTCGGTTTCGCGTTCGTGTCGTGTGTGCGAGCGAGGCGAAGCTGCGTGGGCGCGCGAGAGGAATGATGCCGCCGTGGCTAGGGGCTGTGGAGCTGG